GGCGCGGGGCAGCCCGCGGGGCGGCGCGCGGCGCCGGGCGGCGACGGCGGCATCGAGGTGCTCGACGTGTACCTGCTGCCCGAGCCCTTCTCCGGCCTCCTGGGCGGCGACTTCGCGCCGCTGCTGCTGCTCAGCTGCCGCGTGTGCCTSGAGGAGAAGCGCATCCAGCCGCTGCCCTGCTGCAAGAAGGCCGTGTGCGAGGAGTGTCTGCAGCGCTACCTGAGCGCGCAGGTGGGCACCGCGCGGCCTCGCGCCACCGCCTCGCCTGCCCGCCGACTCCTTACGAGGCAGGCAGGATTCCTGCCGCAGACGAGTGCGGGGAACGCGAAGGGGCCCGGCCGGTGGCGTTGGCTGCTCCTTTCGAGGTGTCTTGTTGTGTTGCATGTGCACCCCTTTGCTYCCGCAGCCGCTTGGTCGCGGCGCGTTTGCTCCCCGTGTTGCRCTGACGTGAGTGCCCCCTCCCACACCCCTCCATGCGCCTCGGGCAGGCACTGCCTTGGCCGGGGTCGTGCCAGCTACGAACGATTGGAATTGTGWKTGTGTGTGTGTGAGAGAGCCTTTATGCAGTTTTCCTTGGAGATACAACAGAAATAAGAACTTTATTTAAAAAAAAAATCTGCCCTGGCTGAGTGGCTCTTTATGTATAAGCCCCTTATTTCTTAATCACAGTTTGATTTGATAGGCAGAACTGCTTTTTCAAACTGAAATAATGGCCTTAAAAGCAAAGCGCTCATTTCCACTGGTGTTTTAGGTGCTGGCTAAGCATTGCAGGGCATTCCTGCCATGTTTCTAGGGTAGGCAGAAACAGAGCAATGGGAAAAGTGCAGAGCAATGGGAAAAGTGCAGGAAAACAAACCCCAAGGGTCTGGCGGGGCGAGGGTTGTAGCTTGTTCCGTAGGTTGTCTAAGTTGTAGGTTGTTCTGGTGAGGGCATTTTGCTGCTCGGGGTGGCGCGTGCTGCTGTGCCCGTGGGGTGTGGGCTGGGCTCCGTTTGCTAACGTTGGTGGGGTTTGTGTTGAACAATACTGAGCTCGCTTGGATTTTACTGAAATGCTTTATTTCTGTGTAGATAAGGATGGCCGTAATGTGTGAATGGGTGGGAGGAGAGACACTGGAGTTGTCTCCAYGAATGTCCGCTGCAGTCCTGAAATTCAGGAACATTCGTGGAGACAACTCCGGGAACCGCGCGCGCAGGAAGGGCCGGTCGGGATGGCCGGCGACAGATCAACCTGCGCGGGCCGAACCTCCGTGTCCGCGGCCTCGGGCCCTCCACACCCGCCGAAGGGAGGCCGAGCCCTGCGGGAAGCCCCCGGGCAGCCCCGGAGCGGCCCGGAGCTGCGCGGATGCTCCTGTGCGTGATGCTGGAGTGTCCGCCGGGATGCAGGCGGGAGCGCAATCCTCAGGGACTGGGGTTTACACAGCGGCCCTGTGCACACAGGGGCTGTGACTGCTGCTATGGCAGACGTAGTTCTGTATATTGCTGTAGGGAAAAGGAAAGCTGAACACTCTCAAAATACAGTCCAGCTTGTTCTGCATCTATTGAGATTCTCTGAGAGTGGTGTTTCTTTGCAAGGGACAGTAAATGATGCACCTTTCCTTTGCGGTGTTGAGGACCCTGTGACTCACCCTGAGAAGAGGGAAGAGATTTCTTGCCAAAACTGTATTGTAACTGTCAGAGGAATTTTGGGGGAAAAAAGAGTGGAAAGGCAGTATAGAATAGAAATAATTGTCTGTGACTTCTGAGACTTAATATCATATTGCAAGGGGAAAAAAAAGCTTGTCAGAAGTTCAAAAAAGAGTAATGTTGAAAAGTGATTTCTATCTGAAAATTTGAACGCTTTTTCAGTTTCCGTGGAGCTGGATTAGTCTAGGAACAGGGCTTGGGGAGGTGAGCAGCAGACCTTGTTTGGATTTGGACTCTGTCGAAGAAGCAGCCGTCTGTGTCCTTGGCTAGAGGACACTGGCTCTAGGTGCCTGGAGCAGGGTGTCTGCACAAGGGTGAATATGCTTCACTTGGGAGAATATTGACGGAAGAACAACACCTAAGAAAAGTGTTCTCTGTAATGTTTGTCTTCCAGCTGAGGAAAGATGGAGTCTCCTAGGGTAGTTTAATCCTAATTTCTGAAATGATGCTTAATGGGATATCAGAATAAAACCCCTGCTAATGTTCTTTACTCTCTTCTATACAAATAAGACACCTCACCTAAAAACTTGTGCCTTATGACACCTTATAGATTACAAAATCAGCTCAAGTTTTAGGTATTGCTGAAAAGAAAACTATCCAGGTGAAAATGCCCCAAGTGCCACCAGGTTTCTCTCCTGGTTTTACAGGCGTGGGGGAAATGAGGCTAATTGGTTTAGGAGTGTAGGATTGGAAGGGCTTTGGAGGTGAATCCGACGTCTCTCATCACCTGCACCTTGCTGCATAATCCCTCCCAAAGGCTGAGCAGGAGCCGGCACTGGAGCGAGCCCAGGGCTCGTCGAAGCCTCGTTTCTGGTAGGGACACTGCTCGGCCCTGCCTCCCTTCACCCATTGCAGCATGTGGCAGAGGGGTGCTGCTCTCACAGGTCTAACAGTGGCCGTTTCTATTCACACACACACACTAAATCCGTAAAACTGATGTTGCATCTGCGTTTCCTGCCCTCTGCATCTCCTCTCCGTTGCGTGTTGCGTGAGACGGTGCTGTGTGTGCGCGGGGTGGCTAAGTGGGTGAATCACCTCCCAGCCTCTCCCGCCGCTCGCAGACCTGAGTCAGAGGGAGGACTGCGCCTCGCTTGGCTCCTTGTGCCTCCTTTTGTGTGTGTGTGTGTGTGTGTGTGTGTGTGTGTGTGTGTCCATGGGGGTTTGTTTGGAAATTTTCTTTAGAAAAACAAACGCATAGTGAGAAGCTGGACGTAAGAAGACAGAAGGAGAGAGCAACTGTTTAACTACGATTTTATATTTAACTTAACTTTGCCTGGTAAAGAGGCAAAGGTTTATATGTGTTTTTTGCATCGCTCCAATCTCTAAATCTGACAAATGCTGTTCAGAAAGATAATCTCATCCCTCACTTTTTAGTATTACATAGACCAAATTAACATACGCTCTTTCCATAGACCAAAATAACACGTGCTGTTTCCTAACATCTATAAATTACAGTATTCTCTCTGATAAACATTTGAAGAAATATATACATTTATAATTATATCTATACTTACTTCACTTTTATTATCAGGTTACAAGTGTCTTATACAAACCTCAGAGATTTTACTGCCTGGCTTTTTCACTTGCAAATTAGAAAACTTGATAATCCAGTTTTGATCCTGCGCTCATTAGCGATGCTTTATTTTGTAAATTTTGTAATTCTTTTGGAGTTGGCATCCTTTTATTAAAGGGCTTTAGGTGAAGTTAACTTGAGCAAGATGCTGCATTCCGAATCGGACACAGCCTTAATTGGAGGAGTGTGAATCAACTGGTGGACGTGACTGAATCAGAAGGGACTGTTGGGTGGGGGGTGGCACCTGCCAGCACCTCCTGCTTTTACTTTCGGTGAATTGGGAATCTGCCTTAACTCTCCTGAGCTAAATAATTGGTGATCTTCCCACTGTCTGGGATCTCTTACCATTTTTTCCTCTATTGGTGACTTGAGATCTTGTGGTATTTTTTATTTTTTATTTTTTATTTTTTATTTTTTATTTTTTATTTTTTATTTTTTATTTTTTATTTTTTATTTTTTATTTTTTATTTTTTATT